TTTTTTTGAGACAGGGTTTCCCTGTAGCCCCAGCTGGTCTGGAACTTACTACATAGACCACAATGGCCTCGATCTTGCAGAGATCCACCTACCTCTGCCTCCCAAGTGCTCCTACCATGCCCAGCTAAAGATTTATTTTAAATTATGTGTATGTGAGTGCAGTGCCCATGGAGGCCAAAGATCCCTTAGAGCTAGAATTACAGGTGGCTGAGGTGCTTAATGTGGGTGTTGAGAATTGAACTCAGGTCCTCTGCAAGAGCAGAGGTCTGCAAGACTCTTAACCACTGAACCATTTCTCTAGCCCCATGAAAGTTTTTTTTTAAGTAGTTATAAAGTATTTAACAATACTTAACCTATAATTAATAGGAATTTATATTGTTTACTTTTATTTTTATTTTTGGCAATGCTTGGGATTAAAACCCAGGGTCTCAAGCATGCTAGGCAAGAGCTCTACAGAGGAACCACAGCCCAATCTGGCTGTTTTCTCTGGTTGTTGTACAGTGTGCATCTCTGTTCAAATATACCTGATTCTATCTAATTCATTCCAAGTAAATAATCAAATTCCTAAAAGCAGTATTACTGGCTGTATGTTATGTGCTTTAAACTGATTTATAGTGCTAGATTTTCCTCAAGAAAAAGGGTTACAGAATTTTCACTCGGAACAATTTCTGAGAATGCCTTTCTTCCAAGAACAATTTCTGAGAATGCTTCTTTCTTCCAAGAAACAGGCTTTTCTATTTAATGTAATAAGCATTATCTTTACAAAATGTCTGAAAAATGTTTTTCATAATTTAACTGGCCAGTCTCACATAGAAACTTAGTTCTTGATGAATTGGCCCTCATTTAAGTATGTTCTTTAACAAAACTCTTAACTTACATGACTTTCATATGATTAAAAAAGAAGAAACTAAATCAAAGAATTATACTGCAAGACATAATTCCCTTATATGAGTTAATATTGGAGTTTTTCCTTTAACTCAAATTTGGTTTGTCAGTACAGACTGTCCCTCAGTTCGCACAACACAAAATAAAGCAGCATTGATCACGGTGGCCCTAGCCTTTTACCTGCTGGACTCTGATCCTCAAATCAATGTGCCTGCCTAAACTTTGGTCCTAACTGAATCTGTTGTGGCACCAATTTTAACAAATATCAGGGGGAGGGTGCTGTCTAATGATCTACATACACACGATGATGAAATCATAAAGTCTTGGGAAGCAGTTTCCTGCTCATGACAAGCCATCACTAGAATTCCTAGTGTCCCAATTGATGAGAAGAACAAAATCTTCAACTCACTGAGGTAAAGAAAGCATAGAACCAAATAGGCCTGATAAAGTTATCTCTACAGTGTTACTTTGTTAAGGTGTCAGAGAACAAAATCTGTATGTCCTTTAAAAGTAGGCAGCTGATTTCACAAAGCCTTATCACAACCTCACCCCTTGTTCCCGCCCAAGAATATGTCCCACAAGTTAGCTTTCATACACCAATTTTATTTATATATGTGTCTGTATGGTGTGCAGGTGTGTGAAGTTGTGCACATATTATTCCTCAAGTGCTGTCCACCTTGTTTCTTGACAGGGCCTTTCACTGGCATTGAGCCCACCAGACAGGTTAGGGCTACTGACCAGTGAGCCCCGGAGATCCACCTGTCTCCACATACTCAACACTAGGATTCAATGTTCATGCTACCATGCCTGGCCCATTTTTAAAAAACATTTATTTATTTTGTGTTATGTGTATACATGTGCAGGTATGGATGTGCATGCACAGGTGTACACATGCCAGGAAGCATGTGTAGAGGCCAGAGCACAACCTGCAGGAGTTGGCTTTCTCCCACCACCATGTGCATTCCAGAGATAGAACTCTGGTATCAGGTTGGCAGCAAGCACCTTTACCCAATGAGCCATCTTGTCAGCCTTGAACCAGCTTTATAATGTGGGTTCTGGTAACTGAATTCATGTCTTCATGCTTGCACAGCAACACTGTAGCAAGTGAGCTATCACCTCAGCTCCTACACCAATTTTCTGACACCAGATAATCTAATTTTACTTAAAAAAATCAAATCATCTTAGAGCATTATAAAATAAATCCCTTTGAAAGCATATCCATTGAAAAGGTGGTCAAATAGCCTTAGAGAATCAAATCTTTAAGACTAGAATAAATGACCTTTAAGGTCCCTTCCAACCCCATAAACCTAAAACTTCCTGGTTCCCTGGGGGTGAGAGTCACTGTAAGTCATTGCTATAACTGCAACAGCTAACCAGAAATGGGAGGAAGAGTACTGCTAAAGGAACATGAAGAAAGATCACTACAAAATGATGCTCTTACAGCACCACTGTCAGACCTCTGCAGTAATTATTGTCAGAAAGGCCTTTAGCTCTTTAGTTTACATTTATTTATTTATTTACTTATTTACTTATTTACTGTGGGGGGTGCATGCGATGGGCCATGTGTGGAGGTCAGAGCACAGCTTGCAGGAGTCAGTTCCCTGCTCTGCTGTGCGGGTTCCAGGGATCACACCCAGGGTGTCAGGCTTGGCCTTTACCCACAGAGCCATCTCATGGGCCCACACCCTGTAGTTCTATTGGTCTCTGGAGGTCTTTACTCCAACTCTACTTTTAATGAGTCATTCACTGTAACACTTCCAATAATAAGCAGTGTCCAATCTATCTTCTGAGGAAGCCCATTTCCTCCATTCCTTTTGTCAGACAGTTCTAAGTGTAAAGCTTTTCCTTAAATTGAGGCAAAAATCTGTTTCCCGGCCATTTTTATCCATAGTCTCTAGTTCTGTGAATCAACCTAAAATAAGTCTCCTACATAGTAGCAGCCTCCAAATAACCCCTCTTTCCATGTCCTCCTCCTCACCTCCTCTCATTCCTTCACTTTTCTCCAAACTAACATCTGCAGTTCTGCCAACATTCTTCCTAAGACACAATTTCCAGTTCTCTTAATACACTGGTGATTCTATTCTTGACCTGCTTCAAGCCTCAATGTTCTCTTTAGAGTGTGGTGCCTAAATGCTTTGAGTTTTCCCAAATGCTTCGGGTTTTGTGGCTATTATGTAACTAAAAACTCACTCCACTGAAGAAATGGCTACTAACCATAATAAATGGACAGATCTTAACTTTTGATCGATTCTAGAGAACAAATACAGAATCTGTCTGATGTCTGCATTTTTCTTTTAGCTGGCATAATAACAGAACCTCAGGTTATCAAGGACTTTATATCAGACACATACAATATGTATCTGTCTTGTCATTTGATAATTTAACAAACTTGGCCTGTTTAGATCCATTTTACAATAGAAGCAAGACCCAGATCAGTTATTTAATGTGGCTCTATCTACTTACCTACCTACCTACCTACCTACCTACCTACCTACCTATCTATATCTGTCTAAATTAGAATATAAATAATAATAGGTCTACATTTGATAGCAAGAGCAAAGAACATTCAGAATTATAAACCTGTATTTAATCCTAGGTCTAGTTCTGTCATTATTTGACCTTGGATAGTTCCTTAAATTTTCCAGTTCTCAGGAGCTCTCCCCGAACAGCCTAGTGGCCCCAAGTCATCACAATTGAGTGTCCTCTAACTGGACATGGTTGCATATTGGGAGATTGAAACAAAAGGATTATGGGTTCATGGAAGGCTGGCTTGGGTACACAGCAATATACTGTCTTAAAGTATATACATTTAAAAATAGGGGCTGGAGAGATGACTCCACAGGTGAGAGCACTGGCTTCTCTTGAAGAGGACACAGGTGTGATTCCCAGCACCCACATGGTGACTAGAAACCATCAGTAACTCTAGTTTCAGGGCAATCCAATGTCCTCTTTTGACCTCCATGGGTATTGCACAACACAGGCGCACTTACTTACATGCAGGCAATATACTCATACATATAAAATAAAAATAATAAATATTTAAAATTTTTAAAAATTTCAAAGGGTAGTTGGAGAGATGGCTCAAAGGTTAAGAGCATTAACTATCTTGCAGAGGACCTGAGTTCAGTTCTCAGCATCCACATCGGGTAGGTCACAGCCATCTATAACTCCAGCTCCTGGAGAGCCAACGCTCTCTTCTGGGCTCTGTGGGCACCTGCACTCATGTATATGCATATGCATACAAGCACACACATATGCATAATTAAAAATAATAATAATAATTTAAAAATAGGGGCTGGAGAGATGGCTCAGTGGTTAAGAGCAACCCCAGGTTCAGTTCCCAGGCGCCCACATAGCAGCTAAATGTCCTTAACCCCAGTTCCAGGTAATCCAATGCCCTCTTCTGGCCTCCATAGGCAATGCACACACTGGTACACTTACATGAATGTAAACATTCATACATATAAAAATAAAATAATGAGTCAAATAATTTAATTAAAAAATACAAATAGTTCTCTAAACCATAGAGGGGGAAAAAAAAACCTGACAAATGGATGTCTCCTTCTATAAACCCATAGAAGAGTCTTCTCTTAAAAGCTGCCAGGAGGAGCTGGAGAGACAGCTCAGTGGTTAAGAGCACTGACTGCTCTTGCAAAGTAGGCAAAAAGCCCAGCCCTATGAGGATCAACTGGCAGTTGATAGCTGCTGGGAGAGAGTCAGTAGTTTCCTTAACAAGCATGATACCTGTTAGGTTGACCAGACTCCAAGGGATAGACCCACACCCAAGAGCACTTGGGGAACACACAGGCAACACACTCATACACATAAAATAATAATAATAATAATAATAATAATAATAATAATAATAATAATAAAAGTTTTAAAAGCTGCCAGGAAATGGGGCTGTAGAGACAGTTCTGTGGTTAAGAGCACTGTCTTGCAGAAGACCTGGGTTTGGTTCCCAGCACCCACATGGCAATTACAATCATCTGCAACTCTGGTTCCAGAGAATCTGACACCCTCTTCTGACCTCTGCAGGTACTATACACACAGGCATACATACATACATACAGACAAAACACTCATACACATAAAAATAAATAAATATTTTTTAAGTTGCAGGGAAAAGCCAAACATGGAGTTCTCTTTATTATTTTTTAAGTACTATTAACCATTCTCCTGGGGTTTCATTATTCAGTTTGGCTGTTAAGAACAGTAGCTAGGCTGTGGTCTCGTTTTGCAGTCACAAGAACTGTTTCAGTTAGAAGTATATGACTCTATTTCTGCCTTCACATTGCTGTTCTACCTGTTTTCCATTATTCGTACATATTTTTTATAAGTCAATGTAAATTTTTTTTAATATTGAAGGGAAAATATAGAATTGCAGAAATAATTCAGCAAAATCAATCTGTTTTTGTGAAGTGAAAATCACAGGACTAACTAAAATACATCAGTAACCAGTACCAAATACACATTTCAATCAAAATCACCCAATTATCACTCAGACTCTAGCAATATAAGCAGTTTTCCTTAAATCTTAACTACCTTCACTTCCATTCCAACCTCAGCCTATATTTCTCTTCCTGAACATTTTACAGTGTGGAAATGAAATGCATATTCACTATATTTACTGAAAAAATACGTAATGGTCTGTATGATTAAAATAAGAAACTTAATTGTTCTTAACTGTGGAATAAACATTCACTTTTTGTCCTCTTTGATTTTTTTCATGTTGTATAAAAACAAAAGTTAATTCACATCAGAGCAGGATAACAATATAAAAATCCCAAGTTGCAAATATTTTGACTCTAAATCTATTTGATTAAAAAAAAAAAACAAGACAAAACAAAACAAAACAAAACAAAAAAGCCTTGATACTTACTGTCTCTAGCACCTTCTGATTTCTTAGAGGATGAATGTCCTGAAAGGAAACAGCATTGTTTTATTAAGTGTCATCTTCAGATGATGTTGACAGTTGTAACTCTAATCATAAATTCTTCCCAAGTCTGCTTTTCTTATGTCATAAATAAGAACTTCACTATTTCCTGATCTTCATGGTCCTTAGTCTTATCTCCTCAATTAAAATGTTTGGTTCTTTTAGGAAGGGATCATATGGTATGTATTCATAGAGCCTCGTATAGCTAACCTAAAACAAAAATGAGCACCTATGAAAAGTCCCATATTGCTAAAAAAACACCACAGGTTACAAAGTAATAATTTCTTTTACCTGTGGATATGTTCAACATCTCCACTGAAGAATGTACAAATATTCATTTTTCACAATACTTTTCCAAGGTCATATATAAATAGGAAAAGGTGATGTTGAAGAAGATCAGCACGGCATGATCAGTAAGCACCTACCAATGAGCTACATCCCCAGCTAAACTCCACAGTTATATGCAATTAACAAGAAGACACATACTTTTGTCATGGAAGAAAAATTTTCATCTCTGCAGTGGTTATTGAGGAAGACAGGAAGAGAAAAGCATTGAAAATCTGTTAGTATGTACAGAGCCTTCTGTAATAGGACCTCAGGGCAGAGGTTTTTGAAGGGGAGTAAAGTAAAAAGGAAAGGTAAGATCCAGTAACAATTCCTCCAACCTTGGATGAGGGGTCTGAGAAGTCAGTTTCAGCGGTTTCAGTTTTAGTAGCTAAAGGGGGTACAAGAACTACAGGGTAAACAAGGAAATGCTTGTTGACAGATACCAAAAAGGCTTATAGGTCAAAAACAACAACAACAACAAAAACAGAGCAGGGGAGTGGGTGGGGGTGTGTATGCCAATTAGTCTTACCCAGAGGCTGACTGACATAATTAAAGCAAAGCAGAAAAGTGTAGATTTGAGCTAAACGACCAGGGAAGCTTGCTGGCAATTACAACCACCTGACAGTTGAGGGATTACTGTGGGTAGCAGTGGGTTCCTTTCCCCTGGAGATGCTAAAGCACAATGAGAACAACCAATGATAGCTTCTCTCACACTTTGCTGTGTGGATGAAGCACAGAAGACCAGCAGAGATCTCAAATGGCTCACTTCTAACAAACTCCCAAACAATGGCAATGCCACTGGCCGGAGTGCCACTGGGTTGCTCTTTGAAAAGCATCCTTTCGAGTATGAGTCTAGAACTGATTTCTGAAGTTTCTTCCACTCCAAGAAAATGGGTGAATTCACTGATTCACTCACCTAATGTATTAAATGCCTACCATGTTGAGGAAACATTGTGTTAGGAACTGGGAGACAAACAAGTCACACAGAAAATAAATGATTCCAAGAATCCTATGCATGTCTAAAGTGCAAGGTGCTGTCAGAATGCAAACTAGGGATTGAATCTTTTGAGGAAATGGGATAGATGTTATTAAGAGGGCTTTCCAAGTAGTGAAGCTAAAGGGAAATGTGAAGGATGAGGTGCCCTGGGGATGGTGGTGAGAGAGCCACAACCTTGGATCTTGGGCCAAAGAGAGTCTCCCTAGGTACTTTGTTTCTTGTCTGAGAAAGCAGACTTTTATTCAAAGTCAAGCTACCAATCTTACTTTTCTCTGTGCCCATCCATTCTACCATGGGCATGTAGCTGTCCACCCAGCCATTCACTTAACATTTCCTATGATGGGACTACAAAGCTAAGGGAGTCTCACACAGAGACAAAGAGACGTGTAGGGGATAAAATCAGGACAGTAAGCAGATATGAGGACTTCCAGCAGTGAAAATTTAACAGTGATGTCTAAGCACTTGTTAATTATTGTTCAAGTTTGTTCCAAATTAAGGTCTGGGTAGAGACAAACTCTTCCTTGATTCAGAATAA